CACAGATAGTTTCTGTCCTCCAAGATGTATATTATCCACCCCAAATTTTCCACCAATAGGATTGCAAGGCAAGCACAGCGTCAGCTGATAGTCATTGGATGATAGTGTTGAGCTCATAGTCACTCCACCCACAATGAGCTGCAGAGGTCAGGGAAGGGGTGGGGACATTGTAGAGGATACCAGCCCCAAATAGGAATTTCTCCCCCAGAAGAGCCTTTGTCCCAAGAATCATGTGATATGATTCAAAAGGTCTTGCTGTAGACTTGAGTAGTCCGCCATCTTCCTTTCCAAAGTTACCTGGAAATTCTTCAGAAAATAAACTCTGTGTCTTGGTGAGGAAAAGTCCTTTCAAGAAACATGGTGAATTACTACAAAGTACTGGGGATGCCACAAAATGCTTCCTCCTCTGATATTAAGAAGGCTTATCACCAGTTAGCTCTTGGGGTCCACGCAGACAAGAACCCAGAAAACCGGGAGGCAGCTAAGGAGAAGTTCAATCAAGTGGTAGAGGCCTATGCCGTCTTGTCTGATGCCGAGAAACACAACAACTATGACAAGTCCAGAAGGAACTGCATCAAAAGGGAAAACAGGAGATGGCAGGGACAAGGATGATTTGAAGGAGGAACTGTGGTTTGAGAGGCCACCTGTGGCTTTCAAAATGTCTTCGAAGATAAAGAGCCCTTCTCAGGAGACTGTTTTCCCAGTGGCTGTGTGGGTAGGACCAGGAGGTTCCACTCCTCCTTTTTTTATGTGACCCCCATACTGGACACAGGATTTTCCACTTTTTTATCCCTGGGCTCTGAACCAAATTCCCCTTCCTCTGTGACATTTATACCTTTTATAAGCAGTGGAATGGGAAACTTCAAACTGGTCACCACTTGTAGCCAGATAGTGAATGGCAAGGAAGTTGTTATAAAGAAAGTTCTAGAATATGTGAGGCGGAAGACTGAAGTGGGAAAACAACGCCTGTTTCATCTGATTCCTCCATGTCACTGGTAAGGAGTTGCTGCCGTGTTCTTCCACGGGGAGACTTTGCTGTGAGGCTGGTGAGTCTGATGTTTATCAAAGACAGAATTGGAATCTGAGAGTGTGTTGAACTGGAATGGACAGGGGTCAGCTTAATACAAATTTCTCATTTCACAGAGGGAGGGAATAATGGGCCAGATGCTCCATAGGAACTAGGAAGCAGCAGAGTTTGGCTTCCAGCCCAAGTCTTCCGATTCTAAATTGAGCCTTCTTTTCTCCTGTACTCTATCTGGGACAGTAGAGACCACCACAGATATGGCCTTCTGAGACATTTGCAGGGCCCTACCATTATAAATCCCACTGACTCCTCTTCCTTTTTTTTTCCCGCCCTACCTTGTTATTATCCATTGCCTCTTTCTTGATGGCCCTTTTTCTCTTCCTAGCCTCTTTCTCTTTGCTTCTTCTCTCCCCACCTCTTCTTTTTCCCCATTTCCAATGGACCATATCATAGTTAAGCTTAATTGAAAGAGTCACCTAATTGTATAAAGTTGTCAGAGAAAGAGTGAAAAGTAAATGGGTTAAGATTTTTAAATATACTTTTAAAAATAGCTAGGATTTATCGACTGCTCAGTAGAAGCAAGGAATTCTACTTCATGTGTTATCGCAATGATCTTTTCAGCAGTGAGATACAGTAGCTACTTCCCCCCCCCCCATATAGATAAGGAAATGAGGTTTAGAGAGATTAAGTAACTTGCCCCAGGCCCCGCCTAATAAGCAATAACATAGTGTCTTACTCTGAAACACATGCTTATCTCCTGAGCTATAACATCTACGGATTCTACTCATTTATTTTTAGATCTAGGGTCTTGGCCTCATTGGAAATTTACACCTGTCATCTCTAAACCTTACTTCCATGCATGAGTACTTGCGGGAACTTAAGTAGGCAAGCATTTTGAGTATTATTGCCCAGCAGGCACTTGGTTATTCGAACATGAAGACAGAAGACAGAAGCAATGTAAAAAGTTTCACTGAAACTAACAAACAATTATCCCTTAACACAGAAATGTAAACAAAATCCCAAGATGTGAATTATATTTTTGTTTTGAATTTTGGATTGTTAATGCAAAATCATGGGATTTTTTCATTTGTTTGTTTAACTGGATCCGGTCACACTCCAACTCCTTCATTTATACACAGACTAGGCTCCAGAGGAGTGGTTCCTTGTGGAAAGTTACTGATGGAGTCTGCGTTAGAACCTCTGTCTCCCAATTTCCAGTCTCACGCGCATCCTAGTATACCATGCTGACTGGCAAAAGTTGGATTTCATTTGCCTTGCAAGCTTTTCTAGAAATAACATAACAAATGATTAGCTTTCTTAATCAAGGAACTTTCCTATGTTTGTGATTTTTATGAGACACATTTTTATGTCGTCTTTGAACTTTTTTAATCTCAGTGAATTTTCTGAACTTGAACAAGAATATACCTGCATCCGTCTGGCAAAGGGTAGCTTTCAGGCAGGGGACATACTTCCAGAAAAGAAACAGAAGATGGATTTGGAATTGGAACACATCCCAGTTCTTTCAAAGCCTACACATTTCCACTTAGTAGTCATTGAGAACGTCCTATATGTCAGACACGGTGCTAGGTGCGGGATATGAACTAATCATTTTTAACCTCCAAAGTTCTTCAGGGGGTTATTTCCATTTTACAAGTTTGGAAACTGAGGCTCAGGGAAGTTACGTCCCTTACCCAGAGCCACACAATAAGTTGTGGAGACAGGGTTCAGACTGCAGTTTGTTTGACCTGGAAGCTCCCATTTCCATTATGCCATCTCCACTCCCATTCATCTGAGCTGCCATAGTCATGGTTTCAGAGGAGAGTTTTGTTGTATATATGAATTATATTCACTTCAAAAATTTTTAAATGAGGAATTCCAGATGGAGCTTTCTTTTACCAACCCTCATCTGAGGTGAACGGCAGTGTAGCTACCAAACAAAGGAAAATCAAATTGGAGCATGAAACATGATTTTCCATTTTGTCTTAAATAAAATCCAAATTTCAGCATTTTTCACAGACGTACTTGGCTTTTGACAGAAATGCTGAGTTGTAGAAGGACTTTTTGCCAACAAAGATGTAAAAAAAATTCATTTGCAGTTAGTCAAGGAAGTTTTCTTGTATAGAAATGAAAGCAGTGGCATCTCCTCCTGGCCCCCGTTTAAAATATGTGGTAAGTTAAATATGAGCAAACAACAGCAAAGGAAAGATGGAGAGCAGGAAGGGCTTTGCTGTTTTTGGAAGCAGCCCGAGTGAATCACTATTCATCTCAGTGTGTAAGATAGAGCATGAGCTTTGATGTAACCTGCGATTCAGATTCCTGTGACCTCACAATGCCTTCAGAGCTGCTGCAGTGGTTTCCAGGTGTCAGGGCTCCTCTCCAACTCTCATACTTGCAGGTTTTACTGATGGACAGTCTTTGGGATTACTAGCTGCCTAAATAGAACAAGATACTTTAGGATTGAAAAGTCAATTCCTTTGTCCTTAAATAATTGTAAAATGAGGGCTGCAGTCTGTCCCGGAATACTGACGTGTGATTGTGTAACACAAAGCTCAGGGAGCACTTGCAAGGGTGGTATCTCATGAAATCCTGTCAAAACCCAATATCCCATATTATCAACCGAGGAGACAGAGGAGGAAGGGACTTGCCTAAGGTCACAAAGTGGGTGTTTCTTCAGCCCCTAGCCCGGTGCTGTACCTCCCACATACTCAGACATTCAGAGCACATCTTCCTCACAGCCTGGCAAAATACATGAGAGACTCTGGAGGAATGGCCCTCTTGGGGACAGTGTAGGAGGGAGTCACAGTTTTATGTAGCTGCAGTTGCACACAGTGCCTCCTTGTCTGTCCATCAGTGGGGAGGTGGGTAAAATCATGAACAGCTGTGTCGAGGCTTACTGAGCATGTGCAGCTGGTCCATCTCTTGAACGCAGGTTTCCTAAGAACCAGCTCAGATTCTCCCCACAACAAACAATAACAAAAAGAAGGTGGTATTCGGCATTCTTCTCAGTGCATCCTTTCCAAAGGTTTTCAAACTGTAGACTTTCTATATTTGGGGTCCTTATCCCTTTCACGAGAAGCCTATTTTTATTTCATTCCAAAGGTTTGTAGTCTCCAGGGTACCTGGAGTGAAGTCCACCTGGTTGGGGACTTGAGAGGAGTGGGGAGTGGACTGCGAGGAGAATAGGGGAGGGAATCTGTGGTGGGCACAGCTCTGCCCCTCGCTACCTTCTTTGGAATCTTGAGGCTCCACTGAGAGGAAGTGGGGTAGCATGAGACTTGATATTCAGGTTGAGGCAGAATGGTTCTCCTTTTAAAGGACAGGAAAGAAGTTCACAGAGAGTAAGTCATTTTTCCAGTGTCCATTGTTAGGATTGAAAAGGTTTCAGAAAACCCAAGGCTCTGGTTCCCATTGGTCCATCGAGACAACACATATTTACTTCTAAGTGTCAAGAGAAACAGAAGTGAGTTATGAAAAGAACATCGGCTTTGGCCATAGGCAGATGGGAATTCAAATTCTGTGCCACCCTTTCCTAACTTCTCAGGCAGGCTAACTTCTTGCCTTGATCCTTGGTTTGCCTATAAAATTAAGATAGCAATCCCTGCCTGTCCTAATTTATAGGGTTTGTTTTGGAATTAGACAAAAATTCTGCATAAACTTCAACAGATTTTACAAGTGGAAAGTGTCATTATTCCTTTCAGAAGCAGCATCTTTGATCGTTCAGGGTACATACTCCAAGCTTGCTGTCAGTTTCTTAAGATGTGACATTTGTGATGTGATCTTGAAAACAAGATCAGCTATAGATTATATTTAACTCCAAAATAAATGTAAAAGGTGGAAGATAAAAGTAGAAGATTCCATTTTTGGCACTATTAAAAAAATAATGTTTTTAGCGTGGAGACAAGCAATACGACTTCTTCCTTTGACCTTGCTTTTTTTCTTCATTATCCTTGAGCTTTACCCTCTGCTTCCATTATAGGAAATTGATGGAAAATCCCTGCTACTGATGACAAGAAATGATGTGTTGACAGGACTTCAGTTAAAATTGGGGCCTGCTCTGAAAATCTATGAGTATCACGTAAAACCTCTGCAGACAAAGCATTTAAAGAACAACTCTTCATAGTATAGTCAAATTGGGGTCTTGGACCTCAAAAAATACATAATGACGTAATTTAGTTTCATGTGATGAAACTTTGTAAACAGAATACATACATGTGTATATGTAAAGAATCTCAATCAAATGAAACGTTATCCTATTGGATAGACTAGGCAATCCATCGGCTGACCTGAACTCAGCCAGGAGGAGCGAGGACATGTGGACAGGATGGTTTACCTTGTGGAGTTTGTCAAATAGAATGATCTTTGATGAGATTAGACAGCCCTCCCCACAAAGAGGATTTTCTTCATAGTTTGCTTTCCCAAATTCCTGAAAAAAGAATCGAATGGTATGAGCATCTTTCAGTTACAGATGTGGGAGGATCAAAAGTAAGAACTTGGGGAGGGGGAGAAAGAGAAAGGGATTGTGCCTCCCTTGAATTCCTCTGCTCCTTAGAGCTTGTGTTATTTGGATGGAATTGCCGACACCCTTTTTTGTAGAGGGTCCTCCACTTGACCTTATTAAGGTTTCACTGGGATATGCTGCGCTGTTTGAAACGGACATGCATCATGGCCCCTTCAGGAGCAGACTGTAGCTCTGAAAAGAGAAATTCTGTTGTATTTTGGGGACATCCATCCATCTTCAGCTAGCTTTCATGGGGGTAATGGTATTTTCTGCATAGATCTGCTTTAAAATTGGTTCTTTGTTTCTGAAGAAAGCATTTTTTTTTCACTTTATGGTTTGTATTTATAATAATTTGTTTCTGAAGAAATTTGCCAAGAGTTATAGATTGAAAAGCCTTGTTACTAGTACAGAATATTTTTATATATATATTCCTTCATGATGGTGTAATATTTTTTTAATTGCTCTGATGCTTTGTTTGATTTCCAATTTGAGTACTTGTTTTTAAGAACTTGAAAAAGTGGGCTTGCTACATCTCTGTTCAAAGAGACATTTGTTCAATCTCTGTGTGTCAATGCCTTGTTGAATTGGTGCTTTGTGGTCACAATAAAGCATTGCTTCAGTTTATTCCCAGTGTATTTATTTTTGATCTTTTCAGTTTGGTTGCCTCTTTGGTTGGGCTTAAGGATTAAGGTAACTCCTTGAAACCATGGAGAGAAAGTTAAGCCTTCTTTAAAAAATAAACGTTAGATATTGAAAACATATAGATCTATATGTAGATTTATCTTCGTTATGAACTGAATTGTCTATTAGGCCTTATTCCTTACCCCCATCCAACAACCAAGTTTAGGTGTCATTTTAGCCAGTTTTTTTTTTTTTTGCTGTAGGCCAGTGGGGGAAGGGGTGTTGTGGGGTTTTTTTGAAATTCTGATGAAAGCTTTGGACCCTCCCTCCAGATGAAAGCTCATATTCCCACATACAAAACTTGGCAGAGTTGATGGACTCCCCAGAGTTCCCTCTTTCCCCTCCTCAAGTTAACAGTCCTTATTTTAGAGAGTGTTATAATTCAGTCCCCTGTGGAGATATTTTCTCTCAAGAAAAGAAAGTCTAAAAAGATGAGAGTGAAAAGAAACAGAGGAAATGGTATAGTGAGTGAGGTTCAGAAATGTATTCCAAATTAATTCACATTTTTCCCCAACTAGGGATTGATCCCGGTGAAAGTGAAAGTGCGGCGTCCTAACCACTGGACTGCCAGGGAATTCCCTGAAACTTAAGTAATGCTTTGTTTTGCATAAGTGGGAGAAGGATTTACAAAAGAGACATTCTCCATCCCCAACTTTCCACAGTCTACAAAACACATAAGACCAAAAGGCAGAATATAGTAAAGTACTGTGAGGTGTGATAGTGGCAAAACAGGAGGACTACACCTGCTGGAGACCTGGGTTGGAAAGAAGGGACAGAAGATCAGACAGAAAGAAGATGGAAGGAAGGACCTAACCTCTCTGAAGGAGTTTCCCACAAGTGAAATAGTAATGATGTTTGAGCCCTCTCTACTTCAAAAGGATAGCATGAGGAATGTCCGAGCCCTGCTTCTGTGCGTCTACCTGATTCCTTCTGTATTAGTTTGGAAAAGATTTGGCTGTGAATGATTAAAAAAAATTGCCTCCCTCACTACCCCACCAGGTAATGTAAACAAAACAGAAGCTTGCTTTTCTTTATGTAAATGTCCAGATAGAGGGGCTAAGGACGGTAAGGCCCTCCATGATGTTAGGGAAGTAAGTTCCTCCTATCTTTTTGCTCCATCATGCAGCTATTCATTCCCAGAATCATTTCACAGCCCAAGATGGCTGCTTCAGCTCTCACCATCACCACTTGAATTCCAACTAGTGGGGAGAAGAAAAGAGAAAAGGAACATACCTCCTTCCTTTAAGAACACTTCCAGGAAATTGTAGTAAGAAGTAGTATTACTTCCTCTTATATTTTGCTATCCAAAATTCAGTCACATTCCCATACCTAAGCTGCAAGAGAAGCTTGTTTCTTAGAGCCGATGGGCCCAACTAAAATTCAAAAGTCCCATTATTCTGTAGACAAAGGAAAAGGGGTATTAGGGGACAATTTCCTGTTAACACTGTCAGCCGGCTGTTGAACACTGGAGAAAATGACACTGAAAGTGTGTATTTTTCTCTATGTATCTTCTCTGTGTATTGTATTTTTCTCTAGATTTGAACTTGGGCTCACATTCCCTTCAGTCTCTGGATATTTTTTATCACAGTTACCTTTCACAGCTGTTGGAAGCCTTGTTCACTACCCCCAACCTAACTCAAGTAATCATTAGACCTGGACTACTCTATAAATGCTTGTCAGGGAAAAAAAAAAAGGAGAGGAAAATATCTTAATTGAAAAGCAAACTGAAAAATAATCAAATCATTCCTCAGTCTCTGTTGACAGCTTTCAGGCAAAATTAGCAAATTAAAGATAGTCTGCCTTTCTTATACCCAGAATAAAGGCCTATGACAGGCAGGCCTGAGTGCCTTGGCAATATCTGAAGGTGCTTTCCTCCCTCCCTCCTTCCCCCACCCCATCCAGGGAAAAGCAGTGTGATCAAAATAGGCCATAGAGAGAGGCTGGAAGTACTTGAAATTCAGCAGGTAGGCAGCCTTTGTCTCCAGACAGCTGTAAAACCAGAGATGTCTGATTTCTTTTCAGATCACACTGGATTTCTATTAATGTGATCTGGGTCTGCAACAAACAGCAAAAACGCCTGCTACATAAGGAAGCAATTCATGAGTATAAGTGGGAATGAGCTTGCCTTGAAGGCAATATATTTTATGTGAGAACTGTTTAATGATGAATTTGATTATTCTCAACCAGAGGCGCAGACAGGATATCGGAATCATGAGGGATTTTAAAAAGTAATTGCCACTCCACCTCCCCTCCCCACATTTGAACCTCAGATCCAGACTCTACAAAGGACATTTAATGAATTGATTTATAGGCAAGGTCACAAACCGGTTGCTTTTCAGTAGAATCTAAGCTGACGTGTTTTCCTTTGGCCAGTGCAGTATGTGTATGTTTTTACAACTACATCTGTGTTCTTCTAAGTGAGGCCGAAAGCTCCAATTTATTACAGTCTCTTTACTTCCCTAATATCTTGCAACCAGCAGCTGCGCCCTTTTACACTAACTGGACTCTGATCTAAAACAAAGAACACACACAAAGAGCCTCCTTAGAGTAAGTTAATTCAGGAAGTAGAAATTGCATGTAGATTTAGCTGAAAAGAAAACATGCTGGCATATTGCATTGGAATGTGCAGCAGGCTTAAGCATCATTTCTTGATACCTAGTGGATAGGATGACAATGAAAAAGAGACCGGTTGGTAGCAGTCTCTTCATTTTGTCCTCAACAAATATCCTATGTGAGCAGGAATTTGTCCCTCTGAGCTTAGCATCCACTGTCAGAGGCACACAGTGTCCTTCTATTGCATTAGTGAAATATATCTTTGAAGGTATTTAATTTGAAAAAGTCTAACGACCTAGAGTTGCCCAACCACTCCCATATTTAGAAGCTGAATGCAAAAAGTACTTGCTGATGGTGAACCATCTGTCTTTGACGGTCATTACAAATGGGATCTGCAGGGGTCAGGTCTGGGCAGAGAGCCGTTAAGTGTTTTCTGTAATGATTTGCAAGATGAAGTTAAATGTTCAAATACCTGACTGCTATAGGACTGATGTGCCTCTTAGAAAAAAACTTGTTAATTCTGCTTCTAAACCAGGAACAGAATCTACAGGAAGGAGAGAGCATGCAATGGGTGCATTAATGAGCAGCTTGTTAGCTTCATGCTGTAGCTCTGTAGGCAATTAAGTATTTTGTGTACCATTTCTGGCCAGTACTGGCAGTTCTATACAGACAGAAAGAGATTCAAATGATCACATCCAGGCTCATTTGGTGACTGTGGCTGCCGTGTCTTTGTGAACCTCAAGAAAATAGTGTCTAGTCTAACAGAGGGGCAGAATAATGGAGGACCCCGTGAGTAAAGCAACAGCAGTTTTTGGCTACCCACAGTAGGCAGCTAGGTTGATGTCTCTTTACCTTAGTTGGACCGGGTGTTCCTGTTTACAGTTGTCTTTAGGGAGAAATCACAAAAGCTGAGGATGCCAGGCAATCTCCAAATAAAAAATATGTCCTTCTTCCACAGAATAAGTAAAGTGGATTATACTCTATTTTTATATACTGGGAAATAGACAATTTGAAAATAAGACTATAAAATGTATCAGAATATAAATGTATTTTGAGGAAAACTCAGTAACACTCTTCAAACAACCAGCAGTTCCTGCCTTTAAGAATGAATGTTTGGGGCTTCAGAATGTTTGGTGGTGCAGTGGTTGAGAATCCGCCTGCCAATGCAGGGGACACGGGTTCGATCCCTGGTCTGGGAAGATCCCACATACCGCGGAGCGACTAAGCCCCGTGCACTACAACTACTGAGCCTGTGCTCTAGAGCCCGCGAGCCACAACTACTGAGCCCACGTGGCTAGAGCCCATGCTCTGCAACGAGAAGCCACCGCAATGAGAAGCCCACGCACTGCAAAGAAGAGTAGCCCTCACTCGCAGCAGCTAGAGAAACCCCGCATGCAGCAATGAAGACCCAACACAGCCAAAAATAAATAAATAAATTTATAAAAAAAAAAAAATGAATGTTCGGGCCAGTATCCTCTCTGCTGTGCCAGAACCCAGCGACACCAGTTGAAAAGCACTGTGGTACAATGGTGGAAGCACTGGGGCTGCTCCAGAGAGTTCTGAGCATGAATCCAGCCCCATCATTGACTTGACATGGGAACTTGGGTAAGTTGTACGGCTCCTCTTAGCCTCAGGTACCTCACCTATTCTCTAGTGCAGATACAGAGAGCAAAGCAGCACTAGCCTGGCACTGTCCAATAAAAATATAAACATGAGCCACATACGCAATTTAAATTTTTCTAGTAGTCACATTTTAAAAAGTGAAAGGAAACAGGAGAATATATTTAACCCAGTATATCCAAAATATTACCATTTTCCATATGTAATCAATATAAAAATTATTAATGATGTACTTTACAATCGTTTCTTCAGGTCTTCAAAATCCACTGTGCATTTTATACTTACAGTACATCTCAGGACAGACAGCCTCAGTGTATCAGTTAGGATTCGTTTCAGTTGACAACCCAAATAACAGTGACTTAGACAAGACAGAATTTCTCTACAGTACATATGAGGTCTCAAGGTAAGCAGATAAGAGTTGGTATGGCTACTCCATAATCGTTGGGTCCCAGTCTTCTAGAATTTTGCTCTACTATCCTCAACACATAGCTTCCTATGTGGTCCATGATGGCTGCTTAAGCTTCAGTATCACAATTGTATTCTAGCCAAGAAGGAGGTGGAGGAGAGAAAGATACCTATTATGAGAAGTTTCATACAGCATTTCCACTTGCACCTCTTTAACCAGAACTTAGTCATTTGGCCATACCTAGCTGCTAGGAAGGCTGGGAAATCTAGTCTTTCTTTCAGGCAGCCAAGTATTCAGCTAAACAAGGACAGGAGGATGGATACTGGGGGAAAGCTAGCAATCCTTCCCTAGTACCAATCTCATA